ATTGCCTGCGGTAAATGTAATGTGAATCCATGAGAAATTGCGTTGTGCTAAATTAGTAACTTCTTGTCCTAACCCCAAATTTTAGTTTCTCGAACATTGCCCTAAGAGTTACTTTCTCCGTTTACTCCTTCAGTATGCTGATTTTTTGTTATTTTGGCCAGCAAAGAATAAGGCACATGCAAAGTGTTTTCAACCGAGAGAGGAACAAATTCAGGAATAGTTATGAAAGTTGGAAGGAGAATGGCCCCCCAGGTGGATATAATTACATCCCGCGGGATGACTGGTATTGGCAGACAGATACGCCTAACTCGGAAAAGAAAAATAAACGGACATATACTCCGGCAGGGCCTAGGGGTTATCCTATGTCGCATCATTACACCGTTCTTGGTCTTGATAGGTATTTCCATGCCTATTTAAACCTCTAACTGTATATTTCTGTTCATCTTTCAATCTGCTTATGGCATGGTTGCCGGTTCTTCATGGTCATACCTTTGCGAGAGACTTATTTTGTAGCCTTACACAGGATTAAAAGTGGAATGCGTGTTTATTAGTGATCAGTTGACTCGTTGTGCACTTGAATGAGAGCCTCAGACTGTAAAGGGAGATGATGCATTTGGTAGATTTGCAAGTTCTATAGAGCATTTCATATGAACATCCATTGACTTGACTTCCTTAGTTATGTGTGCTATGTTCTGGCTTATACGTCAGTTAGATGATCAATTATTTTGTTTGAGAGAAGTACATATTTCAACCCTGAACTCTTGCCCTAGTCTAATTTACAACCCCGAACTTCAATACCGTCTAAATTACAACCCCCAACTCTCAAAACCGGTCAGGATTCAACCCTTCACTACCTCTTGACCGGTTTTGACCAAGTTGACCGGTTTTGACCCGTTGACTAGGTGAACAGTAAATTAAAAAAAAAATCTATTTCTTATTTTTTTCACATGGTGAATAGTATTTTTTTTAAGTTACAATTTTTTAGCTTGTTTGGACATTTGAGTAGCTCTAAAAAAAAAGACAAATGTGGAGTCTGTGAAACAGTTAACTGTCGTGACTGTTCGGGCTGATTTTGTTTTTTTGGCTGAGAGCTACTTAGATGTCCGAACACGATGAAAATTGGCACGGACCTCACACATTGATACATCTTCCATGGAAAAAATATTCTTTTTTTTTTGAATTTACTGTTCAGAAGGAGAAAAAAATCAAAATTATTTTTTGAATTTTTTTACTTTTTAAAATTTACTGTTCACCTTGTGAAAAAAATAAATTATTTGTGATTTTTATTTTTTTTAAATTTACTGTTGACTAGTCAACGGGTCAAAATCCGGTCAACTAGGTCAAAACCGGTCAACAGGGAGAGAAGGGTTGAATTATGACCGGTTTTAAGAGTTGGGGGTTGTAATTTAGATGGTATTCGAGTTCAGGGTTGTAAATTAGACTAGGGCAAAAGTTCGGGGTTGAAATATGCACTTCTCTCATTTTGTTTCATCACTATGATCTTTTTGGAATTGACTCCTATGATCACTTGTTTTAAGAAAATAAGCTCTCATAATTTGCTTCAGTAATGCCAATTTTTACGAGTCACGGACCGCATACCTTAATGAACCTTTGGTAGTAGCAAGTTGACAGGGTACATCACGAAGCAATTTGCAGCCGTCCGACATCAGGTGTCAGGATCATTATTGCATTGCTGTGCTGTGCTGTGTAAAATATTTATCTTGTTGCTCAAACAAAGAGGTTCCCAGTTTGTTACAATCTTAAGAAAATATTAACTGAAGTACTTTGAAAAGCATCTATAACACCAAACTTGTTATTTATTAATTATAATTATGAACATGATGATGTTATCCAGAGTTATACTTCTTTTTGTGACAAGCCATGTTATTTCTTTATAGATCACGAGGGACTCCATACACAGATGCAGAAGTAAAGGTATTGCAGTCCTGTCATCCTATTGTCCCTCCAGCCCTCTGTTCAGTTTACTTTGAACTTGTCCCACCTAACATGATCGTCTTCTATATTAAGTCGGGGTTGATCTTTTTATGTTGATCATGCATCGCTGATTAAATATCTAAGCTAACCTTAAGACCCTTAAGGAAACTGTCATGCCAAATTAATTTTCATTAGACAACAAGGGGTTTCCATTGGATTCACTTTAAGAACTTTGATGTTTGAAGAACTCGAGATAAGCAACCTTCGATGAAAACCCAAATTATCTCTCCAATTTTTCGATTGCTATTCCTTTGGGTGAAGCAAGCAATCAGTTAATGTTTTAAGTGCTTTGCAGTCACATATCAATGTATTAAGGTGGTTTCTGAGGAGAGCTGATAGTAGGATGACTTAAAAACCATGTGGATAAGTATTTTTCACCATTTTTCTGAATGAGGATAAGCATTTGTGTGCCAATTCTGTTTTCTCCTCGCATTTCTTTGTATCTCTTCTACTAGAAATTCTTAAGAAGTGGTATATCCTTAAGTATTTTGTTGGGTTGAGAAGTATTTGGAAATATTGGTGGTTACATTGGCGAATGTTTTGATAAAAAATGGTTCTTTCACAAAATCAAGAATTGAAAGCATCTTGTATTACTAGTTAGTAGGCTGGAAAAATCGGAAGGACACATTCGTTGCTCTAGACCTCCACACATCAAAATGTTAGGATTGTTGTCAGTGTGAAATGTTAGTATTTTTTGGTATGTGTGTCAGGCCTGACCAAGGTTGTTTTGTTTTCTGACTTTGGGGCATCATATGCAGAGTGCTTTTAGAACAAAAGCAATGGAGGTCCACCCTGATCAAAATCAAGATAATAGAGGTTTGTGGTCTTCACGGACAGCATGTTTCTTCATACGCAATTGTTTGTGGTTTTAGTAGTTACTAATACCATTTACATTTTCAGTTTGACTAATTCACATCTAGATGTTTTAAGAGGATGTCACATCTAAGCTCCCACAAATACATAATGCAGCAACAAGAAAAAAAAACAAAGATAAAAAAAATAGACCACAAACAAAGTGAATATCAGCTTTATTATGTGCAGAGACTGCTGAAGAAGAGTTCAAGGAGGTTGTCAAATCATACGAGGCAATAAAACTGGAGAGGAAAAATAATTCAAGTTGATGCGTTTGTCTATTGGAGCTTCCAGTGAAGACTTGCGCCAGTTGTTACAGCCCTGCACGCAATCAGCAGGCCATGCCATCAGGTGGATGACAAACAAAAAATTTCTCTGGCTCTTGCGGACTTGCGGTCCTGTAGCGCAATTTTATACGTGAGTTTGTTGGTGGGAGCACACGTCCCTGATGTAGAAGTAGGATATTGTCGACAAAGATACAAAAGATATGTTTCTATAGCTAGTGACTTGACCATAAACTGGTTAAGGAGCCAACATTTTTTGTTGCCACCTGAGGAATATGCATCCCAGTGCCGTACACCTGATGGTTGGTGTCTAATTGGGTGGAAACTGAACAACTGATTGAAAATAAAAGTTGTTGGTACATAGCAGGGTGTTTATTATTTCATCGAGCGGTTCAGCACGTTGTAAAATTGTACTCCCTCTGAGTTCATGAATATAAGATGTTTTGAATATTTCAATATGAATGACATATAAACTGAAATGAGCGAACAAACACATTAACATATGTCCATATGCATTCGATTCAGAAAAATGTTATAGAACATCTTGGCCTCCTTTGGTTTGTAGGAATCTCATAGGATTTTTATAAGATAAGATTTGCATAGGAAATTTTCCTTTGAAGCCCTTTGGTTTGTAGGAATGGATTCCTATTCATATGTAGGATAGGAATCAATCCTTTACATTTTGGAGAAAAAAAACATTAGCTAAGACTCAATGGAAAAATTCCTATCCTATGCATCAAATGACATCTCTTTCTCTATCGGAATTGAGATACATGTCATCTCACTTCCTATGATTTTCCTATTCTTATAACATTCTTATCCTGTGAACCAAAGGAGGCCTTACAGTATTTGTGAACCGAAGGAGTATATACTGAGTAAGGAGAATTTGTATATACCACAACTGAGTTGCTATGCAGCAACGAAACATCTTTTAGAGAACTGTAATGCAGAAAATACTATTGGTTCAGTCTGGAAGGCGACCCACTGATCATCACTCATCAGTTCATGACGAAATGCAATCGTTGTGGTGTCCGTCACAAGTATCTTGAGTTCTTGACTGACATGCAATTGTTCGTATGACACACAGAACAGATCAGCAGAACCCCCGCTAGTCGTCCCACCACCGCGAGGATGCAGCGCCTCCTCCCGGCCACCCTCCTCCGCCGCCGCCTCTCCACCGACGCCGCCCCGGACCACAGCCTCGCCTCCTCCGCGGAGCTCGCGCACCGCCTGCTCCGCCGCCACGGCGCCGACCCGCAGAGGCTGGCCTCCGCGCTCTCCGCGTCGGGGCTCGACCCGTCCTCCCCGCGCCTCCTCGACGCCGTCCTCCGCCGCTGCGGCGCCGCCTCCTCCCTCGCGCTCGGCTACTTCCACTGGTGCTCCCCGTCGCTGCCCTCCGCGCCGCTCCCCTCCTCCCTCGCGCTCCTCGCCAAGTGCTTCTCCCGCGCCTCCGCCGCGCCCTGCCCCTCCCTCCTCGCGCCGCTCCCCTCCCACCTCCTCTCGGCCT